CAAACATTGTGTTAGCCATACCACTCTGGAGAAATGCCTACCTCTTTCTAGAAGGTTACTCATGAAACCGTAGATTTTCTGGACCAAAAGCACCTTTAATGGCCCCAACATCCAAGAAATTAGGGCCTAAGTCCTTTCCACAGCATGGCTGAAAAGTACTTTTCAAGCCTATGCTTACTCCTAGAGTCACAGATAACACCTTATCTCTCAAGATGTGTGCTTTCATTTCTGGACAAGTTTGATCAGTAAATTGTAATACTGACTCAAGAAATCTTTCTCTATTACAACCATTGGTTCTTTAGGGGTAAATATTCTCTAGTTTGATCAACAGGAAATATCTGAAGATGGGAATAAGCACATTCAATTTTTATTTTTTTCTGGGTCCCCCCCCAAAAAATCCCCTAATTCTCTGTATTTCCCCAGTCATTCCCAATTTGGTGATATAAACTGTTGGCTTACTCTGGACCACTGAAAAACATTAACCTTTGCTTCCTACTACCTCCTGGCTTCTAAAATTGACACACTGGCTCTTTCTGTCACTGCCCTAATTATACTTGCTTCACTTCTATCCAACTAGCTTAGAAAATAAAACTTCTGTGTCCACCTTAACATGTCATTATGAACAGAGACAGAATTAATAATCTAAAAGATTAAATTTTCAAATAGCTGGTTATTACTAAGTACCTAATATCTCCTTTTCCAAGTCAATAATTAACTTTTATATTTGTTTCATACAGTCTGTTGAACTGGACTAAAGTCAAGAGACCTGGCTTTTGTTCTGCCTTGGTGGTTCTCAGGCTTCTTATCTGTAAAATGAGATGGTTTCTAAACGCTTTTCTATTTTTTAATCTCAGTAGGAATGCCGATGTCTATGTGTTGCAGAACAAGAAAACCACCTAATTGCTCTTAACATATGTCAGCAAAATTATTACCAAAAAGATGTCATGAGAGATTCATACTCCCTGTATTTCATATGTGAGTTGCTTCAGTTGACTAAATAGCATCTATAGTGGCACCTGGACGGCTCAGTTGGTTAAGCATCTGACTCTTGATTTTGGCTCAGTTCATGATCTCAGGGTCCTGGGATCGAGCTTTGTGTGGGGCTCTGTGCTTAGCAAGGAGTCTGCTTGAGGATTTTCTCTCTCCCTCTACCCTTCCCCCCACTCTCTCTCTCTCTCTCTCAAATAAATAAATCTTAAAAAATTATCAGTAAACATATATACCATTATATATGTTATGGCAATTGAGTCAGTACACAAAAGGTTAATAAAAATAGAAGTAGAAAGCTGGATAAAATGAGATTATTTGAGTTATCGTCTTGTCTAATCCTTATAAAACTCTCTGGCATTTGAACATAAGAACTGAGCAGTACAGCAGGTTCCCCTTTAAGCAGAGCCCAGAGCAAGGAGAACACATTGCTCATTACTGCCTTCTGGAATATTTTTCCAGGCATAAATGCATGCAGTGTAAATTACTAGCATTCTCCTTTACCAAAAAGAATATGTTCTTTTTTTTCTTTATGTACTATCTAGCATAAAGGCGATATTCATTAAGAATCAAATAATAATGAAACCCCATTGGGTGGTTCAAGCATCAGTACTGAGGATGAACCAAAAAGCATATTCTATGACACTTAGAATACAATGCAATTGTTCTCAATACCTAAAAACAACTGCTGAAATGAACATGGTATGAGTACTTCAAGACCTTGAATAAAAGCAATTCCAGTTGCTTTGTGTTTCATTAAAGCACAAACACATGCAATGTACACAACACAATTTTACACTTCCCAATTTGGGCTCTATAAAAGCTACATGATATTTTTCTCTTGATTTCCTCTCCTTAATTTTTGGGTTCACATATTTATTTCATACATTTTCCTAACATTAAACATATAATCTATGGAAAGCAGTGCTATTTATCAATTGTATTTTATTAATGTGGTAAATTAAAGATGACATTAAAAAGTTTGCCATGAGTTTCCTCTCTTTTGAACTGCTCAGAGCCCTAATAATTGCTCAGCTTCTGAACTGAATTTCCAAACATCCTTTTCAAAAACTTTACATTCTCTCTTAAATAGTGGAATCTGTCCACACAATTACCAACCTCTACAGAAGAGAAGCAGAAGACAGAAAGTGTGTATAGGTAACCCCCTGCTCATGTTTCTGAAAAGGACATAAAATAGGCTGACAAAGAATATGAGCATTAAGTGATAAAAGCAGCAATTTCATTTAGAGAGGTTTTTAGTTTCTTTGCTTTTATTTGTTTTTTCATTGTAGTGGGGAGAAGTGGTAGCACCAATATGAATGCAGAGAAAATATTTGCACTAAAGATATGCAGAAAATGATCTGCAGGTATCTGGGCAACCAGGAAGAGAACATTTACACAGTGAAACCAGAGAGGTCTATAAGCTAAGAAGGAAGTAGAACCTTGTAAGATACATTATAGGAGTTGAGCACAAGTATTAGACAGGGCCAATGGCCTTGTTTGCCATGGATTGGAGTTCAGTGACTGACTTGAAAGGATACTGAAGTCACAGGATAATGCAAAACTCTCAGGTATGCTATAGATTGTAGAACATGTGGGGAGACCATTTCTCTAAAAGATAGGAAGTTCCTCATTGTATAGTAATATATTGTTCTTCTGCCCAGTGCTTGCAGTTAGGCAATGACATGTTATCAGATAAGCATGTCCCAGTTGGTATGTGAGCACTTAAACTAACTAAATGCTATAAAGCACTGCTTTTTCATTCCAGAAACATGTAGACCTAGGAATTTTAAATAAATCAATTTTTATTTCATACAGCTTACTTACTTGAGCAGAGAATGCTAAATATCTATAGCTTGAATTTCCCTTGGAGTTCTTCTTATATTTCTGATCAATCTCTTATGAAGAGTAACCTTAAAGGGCATCCATATTCTCCCCAAGGCAGAGCCTGTTATTAATACAGTGTTAGAGCTCAGTCAGAAAAATTCCAAGTGTTGCTTCCTTTGTTTTGATAAGTTCTCTATATTAGCTCCTATGTGCACCTTTATGTAAGGAATCACTGTGCAGGCCAAATGTTCCTTTCTCTAGATAGCTTATAAGCATCTGGATAAATTTACATTAGAAATTCAATTAACTTTATATTAAAAGGTCAATTAGCTTAGCCATGATAGAGATTGTTTTTAATTACTTTTCCTTGCAGGGCTTCTCTTCTTGTCCAAGCACAAGTGACACTATCAAATGATAGTCTCATTACCTGTTGGGTGCCTGAAACTCATATGCAAAACTCACTGGAAAGGACGGTCTTGGTTAAATGAATTTACTTTTATAATCCTTAGGACTTAGAATATCAGTAAGCAATGACAGGGTATTTTTGCTTAAACAATCTCTATAATATTGTTCATGACAGTATCCTTCATTATTTGTCCTTGCTGGTTTCTCTTTTCTTGGTGGAAGATGATAATAAATAAAAATTATTTTAAATAGTTAGCCCTTATTACATCATATCACAGTATATTGTATGAAAAATGAACAAATGATTACATTAAAAACAAGTGATTCTATTCCATTAGAGGGCTCTTAGTTATCTTTGTGTTCACATGGGTCACAATTTAACTCATTCATGTGTCACTAGAGGACTTATACTTGAGATTACCACTTGACACTATATAACAAGTTGTAGTGTAGTGTCTACTTGTTACCAGGAGGTAACCAATACTAAGCCATCACTTAATCAAAAGAAATAATGAAAGAAAGAAAGGTATAAATATATAAATAATATATATGATTATATTTTACATATTAATATACTAACTCAGATCTCCAGATGATTAGCAACTTAAAAAGAAAACAAACACTACTCAAAAGTTTGATATAAGGTAAAGTCTGCAGATGAAATTTTTTTGTTTTATTTTTGAAGAAGGGACCAACCTGTACCTTACAGGAGCAATAACAATATGCTAAGTATGATATAAACATTATCTATATAGTTCTCACTACAACCCTATGAGATATAATTCATTGTTTCCATTTTACTGATGAGCAAACAGAAGCTTATACCAGCCAAGGTCACACATTTTCACATTCTAATGGCAGAGTCAGAAACTACACCCGCATCAGTCTGCCTTTTCAGATTTCCCATTTTCTCATAGGATACAAGAACAGCTCTAAGAGTAGTGAGACCATGAAGTGCTTATAAAAGTTGATTTGAGAGTGTGTTGGAGGGCAGTTTGGGAACTGAATCAGAGGAAGGGAACAGTTTTGGCCAGTGCAACTCAAAGAGTGGGGCCACAAGAGTATAAATTAACTATGTAATTAAACATATTTTCCGCCATATCTATAGTTTCTCAGTGAAGGGAACTGTGCACTGATTTGCATTCCAGTGGATGCTTCTTATCTCCTCCAACCATTAACAGTTTGCAAACCAGCAAGCAGTCCATGGACCACACTTGGGTGGCACAAGCCTATGTAATTTTCCTTTACTGTGAACATTTAAATGATTTTGGATAACAGTTATCCTTAAAGTTACTCTATGTGTTTTTCCATTTATAAAAAAGTATTAAAAAGCCACATCGGGGCACCTGGGTGGCTCAGTCAGTTAAGCATCTGCCTTCAGCTCAGGTCATGATTCCAGGGTTCTGGGACTGAGCTCTGAATTGGGCTTCCTGCTCAGTGGGGAGCCTGCTTCTCCCTCTCCAGCTCCCCCTGCTCATGCTTGTGCTCTCTCTCTCTCTCTCACTCTCTCTCCCTGTCAAATAAATAAAATCTTAAAATAAATAAATAAAAAGCCACATCTTATCCATATTTCAGATACTAATGAAGGCTTAAGTCTTAAGTGTTATAAAACTATGGGGGCCCTTAATCTTAGTTGAATTGATACTACTCTTACCAGTTTTAATTAGCCAATCTCTTCCAAGAACAAAGAAAAATAGTTATCTTAAAGAATGAACAATATTGCCATCAAACAGAATGATGTTTGGAGTGAAATACAAATTTTAAAAATGTGTTATTCATACCTGCACCTCCGCCAATGCTTAGAATCTTAATTTCTGATTTTCTATCACCAATCCTGAAAAAAAAATTATGTAGTTTAAGAAAAATATGCTACGTGCTTTGTAAAATCTGATTATCGAGTCTAGTTGAAGAGGACAAACTAAAATTATAATGAACAAACACTAGGCCAACATGAAAAGTCACACTCATGTCAGTAGTTACACTGTTGTGTTTAGAAATCTTTAGAAAATAGGTTCCACTCATTAATGATTTTCAACTGGGAGACTTTTAGAAACAGCACTATAAACATTTCAGAGATAGGAAATGCCATGTGTTTATAGATTGTTTGGAGAACAAAAACAGATAAAGTGGGTCTTTGAGTCTAGTGATCTAATAAGCCACCCGTTATAGATGGGAGGAAGGCTAAATTTGATTCACGCTGTATATCTGCCTTCTTTCTTGCTAACTTCCTTTCAATGAACAAATGTTTATTAAACATTTATTATGTGTCTATATTTAGCATTGGGGATACAAAAATGAATAAAACACTACTTTACTCTCAAGTTAAAATGTGAGATAATAAAGCTCAGTATTAAGAGAAGGGAAAGATGGCAGAGTAGGAGGACCCTGAACTTATCTCCTCCCACAGACATACTGAGGCCACAGTGACATATAATGCAACTCACCCTGAAAACAACCTGAAGACTAGCAGAACAGATATTCCACACCTAAAGACATAAAGAAGCCATATTGAGAAAGGTAAGAGGGGTAGAGATGTGGTAGGAAGCAAACCCCCAGCATGGCAACTACAGGCTGGAGGGATCTCAAAAGCATGGAGAAACTTCCTAAGGAGTGAGGGGGTGAAGCCCCACCTGAGGCACCCCCTGTTATAGGAACCTGTACCAGGAAGACAAACCTTCATAACATCTGGCTTTGAAAATCAGCAGGAAATAACTCTAGGAGAGACAGGCTCTAGGAAACAGAGACTGTTCTTAAAAGGCCAGCACACAATATCACTCAATCAGAGACCCAGTACAGAGACAGAAGTTTGAAAAGTACCTGGACATGTAGGGAGGAAATTGATTGACTAATCTTGGGATTTGTGCTGGAGGGGCAGGGATCTATAGAAGCTTTCTCCAGGAATGGAAGTGCTGGCAGGCATCATTTTTCTTGCCCTTTCTCAGTCTGGCAAGCTGGATGCTGGTAGGAGACAATGCTGACACTCTCCGTCTACTGCTTGCTCACACAAGGGACACCCCTGGAGCACCTGGTTCTGGCAAATGGGGGCATTGCTCTACTGAGCCCCACAAGATGCCTTCTACATAAGACCACAACTTTCAAGACCATGAGATATAGCTGACCAACTAATGCATAGAAATAAACAGAGTCATATAAAATTACAAGACACGGGAATATGTTCCAAACAAAAGAACAAGACAAAAATCAGAAAAAGAACTAAATAAAACAGATAAGCAAGGTACCTGATGCAAAAATGAGAGTAATGTTTATAAAGATGCTCACCAGATTTGGAAGAAGAGTGGGTGAACTTCATGAGAACTTCAGTGAAGAGACAGTAAATGTAAAAAAGAACCAATCAAAGCTAAAGAATACAATAACTGAAATGAAAAATATACTAGAGGGAATCAACAGCACATTAGAGGATGCAGAAGAAGAGATCAGCAATCTGGAGGTCAGGATAGTGGAAAGCACCCAGGCTGAACAGCAAAAAGAAAAAAGAATTTTCAAAAAAATGAGGATAGGTTAAGGGACATCTGTACATCAAGTGTACTAACATTTGTATTACAGGGGTGCCAGAAGGAAAAGAAGGGGAAGAAAATTTACTTGAAGAAATAATTGCTGAAAACTTCACCAACCTGTGGGAGGAAGCAGTTCCAGGAGTCACAGAGACCCCCAAACAAGATGAACCAGAGGAGGTCTACACCAAGATACATAGTAATTAAAATGCCAAAAATTAAAGATAAGATGAAAATCTTAAAAGCAGCAAGAGAAAAGAAAGCAGTTACGTACAGGGGAAATCCCATAAGGCTATAACCTGATTTTTCGCCAGAAATTTTCCAGGCCAGAAGACAGTGGCATGATATATTTAAAGCTGAAAGAAAAAAAAAAAAAAGCCTACAACCAAGAGTATTTTACCTGCAAGATAAACATTCAGAATTGGAGGAGAAATAAAGAGTTTCCCAGACAAACAGAAATTAAAGGAGTTCATCACCACTAAACCAGATTCATAAGAAATGTTAAAGGGATTTCTTTATGTGGAAAAGAAAAAGCCATAACTAGAAATAAGAAAATTATGAAAGGACAAAAAAAATCACTGATAAAAATCAAATAAAGCTAGGATGAAGGATAAAACACAAAAGTAGTGAAATAAATTCTAGCTCCAAAATTAGTTAAGGATTACACAGAATAAAAAGGTGTAAATATGACATCATATATATAAAACATGGAGGGGGAGTAAAAATGTTTTTATTTTAAAATGTGTTTGAATTTAAGCAACCATAAACTTAATATAGACTGCTATATACATAGGATGTTATATGTGAACCTCATAGTAACCACAAAACAAAAACCTATTAATAGATACACAAAAAATAAAGAGAAAGGAATCCAAGCATTACACTAAAGAAAGTCATCAAATCACATGGCAATAGAGCAAGAGCAAAAGAAAAGAGAGAAGAACTACAAAAACAATTATCAACAATTGTAAATATTCACCCAAAATAGAGGCACCTAAATATATAAAGCAAATATCAGACATAAAGAAGTAACAGTAACACAATAATAGTAGGGGACTTTACATGCCATTTAATCAATGGATAGATCATCCTGGCAGAAAATTAATAAGCAAACAGTGGCTTTGAATAATACATCAGAACAGATGAACTTAACAGATACGTACAGAACATTCTATTCAAAAACAGCAGAATACACATTTTTTTCAAGTGCATATGGACATTCCCTAAGATAGATCACATGTTAGGCCACAAACTTGTATCAATAAACTTAAGAGAATTGAAATTGTATCAAACATCAGAAAAGATCACAACAATATGAAACTAGAAATCAATTACAAGGTAAAAAAAGGAAACAAATGGAGGCTAAATAGCATGGTACTAAAAAACCAATGGGTCAACTAAAAAATCAAAGAGGAAATTAAAAAAAAAAAAATACCTGGAGACAAATAAAAATGGAAACATAGCAGTGCAAAATGTTTGGGATGCAGCAAATGCATTTCTAAAAGGGAAGTTTATAGTGATACAGGTCTACCTAAGAAACAAGAAAAATATCACATAAACAATCTAATCATACACCTAAAAGACTGGAAAAAGGATAAATGAAGCTCAAAGTTAGTAGGAAGGAAATAATAAAGATCGAAAAGGAAATAAATGAAATAACGACTTAAAAAACAATAGGAAAGATCAGTGAAACCAAGAGCTGGTTCTTTGAAAAGTTAAACAACTTATAAACCTTTAGCCAGATTCATTAAGAAAAGCAGAGAGAGGACTCAAATAAATCAGAAATGAAAGAGAAGTTACAACTGACACCACAGAAATACAAAGGATTATAAGAAACTACTATGAAAAATTATATGCCAATAAATTATACACTGAGAAAAAGAAGAAATGGATAAATTCCTAGAAAAATACAATCTTCTAAGACTGAATCAGGAATAAATAGAAAAATCTGAAGAGGCAGATTACTACTGACAAAATTGAATCAGTAATCAAAAACTTCCAACAAACTAAAGTCCAGGACTAGAGGGATTCACAAGAGAATTCTACCAAACATTTAAAGAATAATTAATACCTATTCTTCCCAAACTATTCCAAAAAATGGAAGAGGAAGTAATGCTTTCAAATTCACTCTGTGGGGCCAGCATTACCCTGATACCAAAATGAGATAAAGATACTAAAAAATTTTTTAAAAATTACAGACCAATATCCAACATAGATGCATAAATTTTCAACAAAATATTAGCAAACCAAATTCAACAACACATTAAAAGGATCATTCACCACAATCAAGTAGGGTTTATACTGGGATACAAGGATGATTCAGTATCTGCTAATCAATCAATGTGATATACCACATTAACAAAATGAAGGACAAAAATCATATCATCTCATTAGATGCAAAAAAGCATTGGACAAAATTGAACATCTATTCATGATAAAAACTCTCAACAGAGTGGGCTTAAAGGGAACATACCTTGAACATACCTTAACATAACAAAGGCCATATAGGAAAAACCCACAGCTAGCATTATATTCTGGTGAAAAGCTAAAAGCTTTTCCTCTAAGGTCAGGAAAACTTCATGAGAACTTCAATGGACAGAGTAGTAGAACAAAAACAGATTTAAACAAGTTCTTAAGGAAACTGGAAAGGATAGATTCGAGGACACCTATGAATGAATTGCCTTCCTTTGTTCTAATTATCTTCCCACTCATAATCATAGTCCTAATACAACCATCCCTATCTATGCTCTTGGTTAATTCTTAAAACTGCTTTATATCTGTAGATAGCATAATGAAGCTATGGAGCACAACACCAAGGTTGAAGTCCTATCCTACTGGTACATTATCCTTAAGCAAGTTATTTAATTTCTCTGCATCTTTATTACCTATGAAATAGGATAATAATATCACCTACTGTATAGAATTGTAGTAATAGTATCTAGTTTAAGGAACAGTTGTGGGGATTAAATGATTTAATTCATGTAAATCTCTTAGAAATGTGTCTGCACATGACAAGTACTCAACATATATTAGCAATTGTTATTATTCCAGCCACAGCTAAGTGATTTCACTCTTTGAATCTTCACAATTTTTCTATGAATTAGACACTATTATGAACTCACTTCATATATTATGATTAATAATTATTGAAAACTTACTATTTTCTAGTCAAGGATCTAAATGCATAACATATAACAACAACAACAACAAAGTTTATTATTTACAGCAATATACTGGAACTCTCCCCATCCCACACCTCACCTCCAGATGGGGATTGTTTCTCCAAGGAAACAAACCATCTTGGTGAATAAACTTACA